TTTTTTTTTTTTTTTTCCCCCCTAAAAAAAAGATGTCAGCCCCTGGCTGGAGTATTCCTCCTTAAAAACCCACTCTGAAAATGTCATGTCCCAACAATGTGACTTCTAACTCCTTTTTGATGGACTCGTTGGCCGGTACCTGTAGAGGGGAGAATTATTCTTCCAACCAAGGGATGTACATGCAGCCTGGGAGCGATTTCAGCTGCGGAGTCATGAGGAACTGTGGAATTATCCCATCTCTTTCCAAAAGGGACGAGGTGAATAACGCTACCTTGTCTCTCACCACCTATCCATCTTACCTTTCTCAGCTAGACACTTGGTGTGACCCCAAAAATACGTACAGGATCGAGCAACCTGTTGCAAGACAGCTCCCATCCTGCTCCTTCCCCACCAATGTCAAGGAAGAAAATGTTTGCTGTATGTATAACGCTGAGAAAAGAGCAAAAAATGCCACAGAGACAGCCCTCTACCCCAACCAAATGCCTGAGTCTTGCCTAAATGACCATGAAGTCCCCGTTCCTAGCTACTACCGAGCCAGCCAAGGTTACCCCTCCATGGAGAAGACGTCAAACTGCAACAATCCCAATGAGTTTGAGGCAAGTTTTGAATCCAGGGCGAGCCTGAACCCAAGGAATGAGCATCTGGAACCAGCACCACCACCACCTCCTCCACCTCCTCCTCCTCCTCCGCCTCCCCCGGTGGCTAAAGTGAATTTCCCCGAAAACACAAAAACAGATAATCCTCAGAACACAGCCACCAACGAAATTAAAACAGAAAAAAACACCCCAGCACCACCTAAAATCAGCCCTTCGGAAGCAGAGAAAGAGCTGAATAAAAACACTGACACCACCAGCACTGACAACTCTGACAGTGAAGCGAAAGGTAAGGGAATCATTCATTACCGGCAGCCTAATTTCAGCAATTAGTAATCAACCATAGCTAAGAATAATATGCGAATGTGCAGTGCTGTGCTCTCTGCCCTGCCAACTTCTCCTCCAGAAACTGGCACAATAATGTTCTGTATTGTTGCTGTCTTTGGGGGAAAAAATGTATATTCTTCCTTAAAAATGTTGGGGTTTTTATTTAAAAAAAAAAAAATATATATATATAATAGAGCTGAGGAAAAGCAGCAGAGAGCTATTTGAGAACTTGTCCTCTCGCTTTTTATATGGAAAATAATTGCTGTGCATGTGCTTGTATAAAAAAAATTGTGATCCTTGCAATCAACGCTGCAGAATGTAATAAGATGAAGTGGTTTTGCTCTGAAATCGCAGAGATTTGGGGTTGGTTAATTTGGGGAGAGGGGGAGGATTGTTTTGGGAGGGTTTTGTGGGGGGTTGTTTTTTTTAAGGTAAATGAACCCTGATTTTTCTTTCCCTTCGCATCGCTTTCTATGCCAACTCTTTATTCCCGTGTGCTAAGCGAAATGATCTTCTTTGGCTTTGCTCGGTGTGAAAATGGGGTGGAAAAATGGAAAATGAGTGGTGTTTAATTCGCAGTTACAGAGATCTCAGGCTGGAGTTACTGTGGCTCATTTCAGGGCTTGGAGCGGCTGAGGAAGGAAAAAGCTGCTTTTTATTTTTTTTTAACTGGCGAATTGAGGTCTTGTTTGCGAAGGGCAAAAAAAAAAAAATGTTTCTGTGTGTTGAGCAGATGTTTTAAGTTTGGGATTGTCTGAAAAGAGGCTTTCATGGAGCGCGTTTTATTTTCACTGTAGGGATTGCATATGGCTGGGAATCTGGAGTCTGGGTGGATTTTGGGGTTTGTTCCTCTCATTTGGAGGATGGTGGATTTAGAAGCTTCACATTCAGGTCAAGAAATAGGGATGATGTGAAAAGTTGGATGGAATTGCCTTCAAAAAGTTGGTAGAAAAGGCTGTTGAGAGGAAAATAGCCGCCGTGGGTCAGGATTGGTGCTGTGGTGAAGGTTCAAGCAGCAGCAGGATGTTGGGGTCTGGGGGTGCACGTAGGGTTACACGCATGTGAGGCACGCGTGGACCCCCATGTACCCACCCCTCGGGTCTGTGGCACCAGCAAAACCTATCTTCTGGCGTTCTCCCCCAAAATTGGCCTTTTTATAAGCAAAACCCAGAAATACTTCTTTTTTATTCTTATTTTTTCTCTTCCTCCCCCCCTTTATTTCCCCTTTTTCCTTTTTTTTTTTAACCATTCCACATCCAAAAAGAAATGATATTTCCTGACATTTGCGTTACAATTACACACAGGAAAAAAAAAAAATACAATAAAAGCAAAGTCAAGGTTATCAAAACCCCTACAAACTTCTCTGCACAAAGCACCTTCGACGTCCACGCCAAGAAGAGGTTTTGGTGGGAATGAACCCAAAAGAAAGATTATCTTGGGGTTGGATTTGTAATTGGGGCGGAAATAAAGAAGGAAATAAATATAAATAAAGGTTTTTTGTGGCTTCAGATGTTAAATTTGAAATGGGTGGTGGAGAAAGACGCTTTCCCATTCCTTTTCTTTTGTTTTTTCTTTTTTCTTTTTTTTTTTTTTTTTTTTTGGTGGTAAAAAGGCGTTTCGTGGCGTTTTTGGTGTTTTCAAATGGTCAGACCCAATTTTGGGAGTGGATTTTATTTGTTTCTGTTGCTTCCTTTAAAAAAATCTTCCATGGCTTCACTTTTCGTTTATGTTAAAGCTGAATTTTTAGGCGTGCCGAAGGTAAGAGACTTTTCTCCTGTCATTGAAACATATATATTTTTTTGGAGGGGGTGACAATATCTCCAGGGTTTGGTGGCATTAAAGATTTTCTGCAAATGCGAAGGTGGGTCCATGTCACACCAGCAAATTTCCAAGGTGACTTTGGCTAAATCCATTTTTTTTTAATTCGCATTTCAAGCCTGCAATGCCAAGGAATTGTTACAATCGCAAAATCCCCTTTAGTTTGGGGTTTTTTTAAATTTATTTAAAAAAAATATATCTATTTTAGGTGGAATTCTTGCCCAGCTGCTGCTGCCAGGGGTTTTGGGGTTGGTTTTTTCTTTTTTTCTTTCTCTTTTTTTTTTTTTCCCCTCATGACCAAATTCAAAGCTCAAGTATTTGCTGTGTTTATTTATGTACGTGTGAAATACGTTTGCCTTTGCGGAGTGTCTGTGTGCGTATCTATACGAGTGTGTAGAGTAAGGAGAGTGTATATGGGATTCCAATGACCTCCGGATTTACCTACAAGTGCCCGCACAGCTCATAAAAGGCAAAATAATCTATTTCATATCAAATACACTTGATGGAAAAACTGCTCCAGAGATCTCCAGGATGAGCGAAAATAGATTTATTTTCCTCCAAATAATACATTTTTAGGCAAATGTTGAAGCTTCTGCAGTTAGTTTTGAAGCTTAGATAAATTCTTATAATTTTGGGGGTGATAAAAGGTGATTTGAGGGAATCTCGAGAGCTCCGGGGGGCTCCCAATGTCACCTTGCTGCTTTCCGGGTTATTTTTAATTAGTGTTATTTTCAACCCCTCCACCTCTTTTAGTGAAGCCAGATTAAATTGATACCCTGATATCCTCCAGTCCCCGCGGTGGGGGAGCGCGGAGCGGCGCGGTTTCTCCGCGGGTGAGAGGTGGAGGTGAGCTTTGCTACCACCAAGTTACTCCCAGTTACTGAATGATTTAAACCACTCTCTTATCCCCTCCAAACCTGCTCTTTCCTCCCTAAAACTCGCAGGAAAGCAAGTCAGCCCGGCTCAATTTTTTAATTTATTTTTTTTCTCAGAGGCGAGCTGCCTTCTCATTTAAAAATTAAAAAAAAATAGAAAAAAATCTAGAGGTGAGCTTTGCTACCACCAAGTTACTCCCAGTTACTGAATGATTTAAACCACTCTCTTATCCCCTCCAAACCTGCTCTTTCCTCCCTAAAACTCGCAGGAAAGCAAGTCAGCCCGGCTCAATTTTTTAATTTATTTTTTTTCTCAGAGGCGAGCTGCCTTCTCATTTAAAAATTAAAAAAAAATAGAAAAAAATCTAAAATAATAGAATCATAAAATGGTTTGGGTTGGAAGAGACCTTAAAGATCGTGTAGTCCCAAGCCCACGGCCATGATGCAGGGATAATATATTTATTTATTTATTTTTAATATTTTTTTTTTAAAAAAAAGAAATAAAGAAAGGAAGGGAAAATTAAATAAAAATAATTTAATAAATAAATTAAATCATCTTAAAAGAAATTAAAAATCCACGTGTAAGTAGATTAAAAATAGATTTTAAAAATAAAAAAGAAAATTAAAAAAAAAGAAAAAGAAAATGAGAAGAAATAAATAATAAAATAGAAAATAATAATAAAAAATATTTCAAAATTTATATA